TATATCACAACAAATTGTGGCAAGTTCTCAAAGAGATGGAAATATCAGACCATCTTATTTGTCTCTTGAGAAACCTATATGCAGGTCAAGAAGCAACAGTGAGAACTGGACACGGAACCACTGATTGGTTCAAAATTGAGAAAGGAGTTCGGCAAGGCTGTATACTGTTGCCCTGCCTATTTAACTTACAGCAGAACACATCATGAGAAAGGCGGGGCTAGATGAATCACAAGTTGGAATTAATTAACAAGTTGGAGAAATATCAACAACCTCAGATATCACTCTCATGGCAGAATGTGAAGAGGAACTAAAGAGCCTTCTAATGTGGGTGAAGGAGGAGAATGGAAAAGTTGGCTTGAAACTCAGCATTAAGAAAACTAAGATCATGGCTCCCAGCCCTCTCAATTCCTGGCAAATAGATGGGGAAGAAATGGAGATAGTGACAGATTTTATTTTCCTGGGCTCCAAGATCACCGCACATGGGGACTACAGCCAAGAAATTAAAAGACGTTTGCTCCTGGGGAGGAAAACTATGGCAAAGTTAGACAGCATACTAAAAAGCATCACCCTGCCAACAAAAGTGCAAATAGTCAAGGCTATGGTTCTCCCAGTTGCAATGTATGGCTGTGAAAGGTGGACCATAAGAATGGCTGAGAATTGTGCTGGAGAAGATTCCTGCGAGTCCCTTGGACTGCAAGGCGATCAAACCAGTCAGTCCTAGAGGAGATCAACCCTGACTGCTCTTTAAAAGGCCAGATCCTGAAGATGAAACTCAAATACTTTGGCCACTTAATGAGAAGGAAGGACTCACTGGAGAAGAGCCTAATGCTGGGAATGATTGAGGGCAAAAGAAGAAGGGGACGATAGAGAATGAGGTGGCTGGATGGAGTCACTGAAGCAGTCAGCGTGATCTTAAATGGTCTCCAGGGGATGGTGGAGGGCAGGAAGGCCTGGAGTTGTCCATGGGGTCACGATGGGTCAGACACGACTTCGCAACTAACAACAGACTATCTGTTTGTGTGGTTAGAAGCTGCTTTTAATGGAAAAGTGAGGTTACTATGAATGAATATTTGTCTTTCTGGCAGCGTTTGATGCTGCAGATCAAATGATTTGGGTAATATAGAGGTGAATTCAGAAAACCAAAGTGCTCTCAAGTTTTTTCTTAAAACATCAAAAATCAGAAACATCTGAAAGCAAAAGATGGAAAATCATTCCATGAGCCACTCAAAATTTTGACTTTAGTTTTCCTTCTCCTTAGCTGAGGAGAACAATTTAATGTTAGGATTGGTAAGAATCACTTTCTAACACTCCTTTATTTTCTCCCAGGACTGAAACATTCACGGTTATTCTACCTCTGGATACACAGTAAATTGTTTCTGAGCAGAAGAGAAGTGTGTAAAACTACCCTTCTTAAAAGAAAGGCAGGATATAAAAATGACTATATATATATTGCACAGCACAGCTGATCATCAGAGTTACCAGTTCATCTGAACCGGTAGCATTTTTTTTACTACTGGTTTGCCTGAACCGGTAGCTTTTATTACTACCGGTAATAAAATACGACCGGGTGAACCGGTCCAAACCAGTAGCATTTCACTCCTGCACAGGCCAAAGATGAAACAGGGCACAGTTGTGGGTGAGTTCAATTAACTCATCTATCCCTTCCTTAAGAGCACCGATGTAACAAGAAATTATACAACAATGCTCTGGATTGAGTTATCAGGGAGCAGCATGGCAGAGACCAGCCTCAATTCACTGGACACAAGATTGTAGAAAGCCCCTTGGAGGGTTTTGATGGTTTCAGAGATTCTAGAGGGGTAAAATCAAGGGTCTTTCTCCTGAATTCAGCATTTTTGTTTTCAGAAACTGTTTATGTCAAGATTGAAGCGTTTTGATTCTTTCAAACCTTAATGCTTTTCAACTTGTCAATGAATTGGGAGGAAGGAAGGGGGAAATGGAATGTGAAGAGTGTGAGAGACATGAAAACTATCAAGGTCACCACTGTAGGTGTTGGAGAAAGAGATGGACTGTTCCCATAACAAAAGGACGTCTCATAATTGGACAATGTGATTACTTAGGGGTGGGGAGAAGAAGAAGCTATTGCTTAACTAGGCAAGCATTTTCGCTGGAAAACCAGATCTGGTTTTGTTTCTTAAGTACCAATACAGTGTATCCAATAAAGTTTTATTTTGGGGAATTCAAATCTCCCAAGAGGGTTTCCTTGTTTTGGGTTTGCTAGTTGGATTTAATTGCTGGAGGTAAATGTAGAATTGTTATGTAGAACAGTATTTTCTTTATTTATACACATGGTTTTATTCCCAGACTAAACAAATATATCATAAAATAATATGAGAATGAGAAAAAGTGGTTGTTGCTTTAAGAATAATCTTATCTTCAATGAGTAGATTCCTTAACCAGGACACCTGTTTCAGGCTCATTTGCAAATTTCATTAATGAACCACAGAGAGATGCTGTGTTTAACCTCATGAAGGATTCAACACACTTCTTCCAAATTATATTTGAAGCATGAATTGTATGGAAATGCTAATCTGTAATTCATAAAATCCCAATGCTAATCCATTAAAAGTGCCAGAAGAATTTAAAAATAATCATTACAGTGTGGCAACACAAGCTCCATCCCTCTCGTATAGACATTGCAACATTACAAGCCTGTATGGAAGGAATGGATCTTGTGCCACGAAGTTACAAAACTCATTCTATCATTAATGATAAATCCACTACTGGATTCTGTGGTTTAGCCATATGAATGGCTGTGGCATTGGTGCCTACGATAAATTCTGAGATTCCATCTAAGCTCACAGTCATAATGTAGCCAATATTGATCGTAAAGTTCAGCCCGGCCTAATTTCTTAATCATGTTTGGAATTACGTTTTTACTGCTTTTCAAATACTGTATTAAGAATCTTTGGAATGGCAAGTTTTAGGGTGTTCCCTGGTGACTTTCGTTCAGTCCTTAATGAAAGAAGTTCTTAGGAGAAGATGACTTTTGGTGGGGAGGATAAATAGCACATGGGTGATTAGAGTGATGTATTTGGAAAGTTATAAATGGTCCAGATAGATCTGAAATAAGATTTTGAAATTAATTATAAGAAGTCTTCCTGTGGGAAACAGCTGTTGTTCTGAATTATGGAAAAAATACATCATAGGATGGGACTTTGAAGGTTGGACACTAGAAGAAACCCAAAGGAGTTAAAGATTACAATTAAAGGAGAAGGATATTTCAATTCAACTTGCTGATACAGAACAGAACAAGTAGGAGATGCCCATTTTAGTGGCATAGTAGGAGATATGATACATAGTTTCCTCTGGGGGCAAACTACCTCATTAATTAATTAAAATAGGATAATATGGGTATAATATATTAGTTGATAAAACATGTATGGTTATCATTAAAATAAAACCTACTTGGATAATATTTCTTTAGGAAATATATATCCTAAGCAAGGACTGATATGTTTTTAAAACACAATTTAGTGATTTTAATGATTTTTAAGTGGATGTTTTTAAAGACGGGTGGATAAATAAATATAATGTAAATATTAAAGATAACATGACTGGTTTTAGTTTGTCTATCAAATAAAAAATGAAATTTCACTTATAATGGGCATCATCATATTCTATTGTAGACATTCTAGATTCCAGATATTAATATTATATTAATATTTAAATTGTATCACATAAGATGTGATACAATTTAAAAAGCACAGATGTTTTATTAAAAAAAGATAGTGTCTAAAGTTGATATAAGACTCAAGACCCAAATGCAAGCATAACATTACCTTAAAATGTTTCAAATGCTTACCAGTAATTAAGTATTTAAAAACTATTCTAAATTTCTAAGATATGACTTTTGTTTTTTCTTCGGGTGATTTTTATACAAACATGCCCTTTATATATTTTTTTATCCCAGCATTTTTCTTAGAGCAACCAGCAATTTTTTAAAAAAAAAACCCAACAGTTCATATCCCGTTAATAACTGAGTTCTATTTTTCAAAAAAAATGGCACTTGCAAAGGAGATATCTGTAATTCAAATGGTGGGGTACTGCTGAACCCACACAAAACTGTGCAAAAAGGAAAATTAATATATCTGAACATAGAGAAGTCGGTGACAGATAAGAAAATGGGAAAAGTACAAGCCAAAAATAATAGAATGCTGAGAAGCATCTCAGTAAAAACAAATCAAATGTAAAGTTTTGTTACAACAGCACATTTTAAGACAGTTTGCTGTGATTGCATTATTTTTCATGATAATAAATACAACTATAAGTAAACTATAGATATATGTTGTGAAACTAAACCTCAGTTCCTTATTACTATCTTTACATTTTCACATTTTCAGTACAAAGGCAGAGAAATTAGAGAGCTCCCATGAAATATATAGTATGTAAGTCTAAATGAAAGTCAGAATAAAGAATCCTTCCCCAAATAATCTCTTCACTTAAATTATTATCATTTAAAATGAAAAAAAAAAAGACATTCAGCTGAATTGCCACTTATCACTTGTACATTCAGCTATAAACAGAATATACTATAATCTGTCAGAAATAATGAATGGGGGGCTTAAATTAATAATGATTTAGAGCTTAATTATTTCAACAGGACTGTGTATTAAATATATATTGGATTTACTTATATAAATGCATTGGATTTGTAAAGCTAGTTAAAGATGACAATTGAGAGAGTGTACAAAGAAGATTTATTTTTAAGTATGTCTAAATCTGGCCCAATCCATTCTACTTTACTTACTATTTACTCATCCCAAAAATTCAAATTCATTCTTAGTTTATATAATCCTTGCCATAAATTTAAATTAAATCTTTTCCGTTCTGTTTCCCCAATTTATTTAAGCAACATTTCTGTCCACTAGCTCAGCTGAACTTTTACTTCTGCTCCTTGTTTCTTCTTGGCAAGGACAAGACCACTAGGAATATTCTCACCCTTAGATTAAAAACAGGATTCATGTTTGGTTGACAGTTACCTCATTTATAATGATCCAGTGACAGTCAAAAGCAACCAAATTGGCTTCCACAACCTGAAATAGAAAAGAATGCAGCCATCAGTCATTTTATTTATACCAAAGTCAGTGATTGTTAAATAGATGTTTGCCACAAAGGACAACAGAAGCTCAGCGGTGGGGATGGAGAAAGGAATCATAGCAGAGGCATTAAAAACAAAATAATTATGAAACCCCAGATCTGAAAAGGCTCCCTTCGCCCATTCTGTGGAAATAAAAAGGCTTTTTTGTGCAAGAACAGTCCCAAAACATTTGGATTATTGTTTGGTTTGTTAATTAAACTGTGGGATTAGAGAATGAAGAAGGTAATTCCCTTCTATCCATCCATCCATCCATGAAAAGTCCATATGATTATTTAAGCCTTAATGTTTGCTGATGAATTAAAAAACACTAAAATATTCAAGATGCACCATTTTTTTAAAAAATGGATTTTCCACCGTAGCTACAGTTGAAACATGTTTGGTTAATAAATGCCCTTCCCTGAACTGAGTTTAGGGAAAACTCATCCTCTGCCCTGGAGCAATATGAGGCACAAAGGGAAAGAACAGAATAACAGAGTTGGAAGGGATTTTATAGATCATCCAGCTCAATCCCCTGCTCAAGCAAGAGACCCGATACCATTTCTGACAAGTGGCTGTTCAGTCTCTTCTTGAAAGCCTCCAGTGATGAAGCAGCCACAACTTTTGAAGGCAAGCTGTTCCGTTAGTTGATTGTTCTCACTGCCAGAAATTTTCTCCTTATTTCTAGGTTGAATCTTTCCTTGATCAGCTTTCATCCATTGTTCCTTGTCTGGCCTTCAGATATTTTGGAAAATAGGTTGTCCTCCTCCTCTCTGTGACAGCCTTTCAAATATTGGAACACGGCTATCTTGTCACCCCTGCTCCTTCTTTTCACTAGACTAGCCATGCCCAGTTCTTACAACTGTTCTTCATATGTTTTAGCCTCCAGGCCCCTAATCATCTTTGTTGCTCTTCTTAGCACTCTTTCTAGAGTCTCAACATCTTTTTTATAGTGTGACCAAAACTGATGTCAATAGACGAAATGTGATGTTCCTAAGATTTATTGTAAAATCATAAGTTCAGTTATTGTGGCCACCCAGTTTTAATGAAATATAAAGGGCTGTTCAGACTAAACAAAATAAACAGATGGGGAAACTGGACAACGGTAGAATGATGCGTAACAGAAATAACAAATAAATAAGCACCACTAACACCTGAATCCACCTGTGTCTTAAATAGACTTAGACTTTTCAGTAGTAAAATAAAGTCAAAAGCATGACCAATGCAGAGTAACAAGCAGTGGTGGGATTCAAGTAATTTAACAGCCGGTTCTCTGCCCTAATGATTTCTTCCAACAGCCAGTTTGCCAAACTGTTCAGAAAGTTAACAACCGGTTCTCCCGAAGTGGTGCAAACTGGCTGAATCCCACCACTGGTAACAAGTATCATGCAACTTAGTCAGAAAAAACAGCAACTACTTTGACCAAAATAATTTGGAAGTTTAATTCAATCAATTAAATGATTCACCCACTTTATTTCCACCTCCATCTGATTAAAAATTATTTGAACAAGAAGTCTTCTCTTGTTTCCTTCCTTCTCTTCATTACAATAATTGGATAAAAGCAAGGGATTCCATACTTCAGCTGTTATGAAACAGCTGTTTACATATTTATTATTATATTAAAATGAATGTAATTTGTTTTCTCCATTAGCATATAATTCATTCTGTATTTTTTAGTCCAAAAGCAGCACTAACATAGACCAGATCCAATTAGTTAGAAGAGTAGTCCCTTCCCAATCTTGTAGCTTACCTGACTCAGGTAGATCACTGTACCCTCACCTGAGAGAGAAGAGATTAAATAGAATAATGCTAATGAGGTATTAGAGCTGTGATGGCAAACCTATGACACATGTGCCAGAGGTGGCACACAGCGTCCTCTCTGTGGGCACACGAGCCATCACCCCAGTTCAGCTCCACTGCGCATATGCGTGCGCCTCCCACTTGCCAGTTGGTTTTCGGGTCTCTGCCGCGGGTGCGTGGGGGCGGGACATGTGCAGAGGGGCGCACATGCATGCGAGGGGGCAGAGCATGTGAGGGGGGCATGCGCACATGTGCAGGGGTGGAATGCATGCAGGGGGCCGCATGTGCAGGAATCACACGCACATTGCATTTTGGGGGTTTGGACGTGCACGCGCACTTTTGGGCACTTGGTTTGGAAAAGGTTAGCCATCACTGTAATAGGAGAGTATTCTTCATTGATAAATTCTCTTGAGTACTTTATATAAAGATTGGAAAGGTGAAGTGAATATACCACCTGATTAACTACAGGTAGTCCACAACGTATGTCCACAATTGAACCCAACATTTGTGTTGTTAAGTGAGACATTGTTAAGTGAGTCTGGCCCCTTTTTACAACCTTTCTTGCCACAGTTGTTAAACGAACCACTGTGATTGTTAAGTGAATTTGGCTTCCCCATTGACTTTGCTTGTGAGAAGTTTGCAAAAGATGATCACATGATCCCAGAGCCCTGCAACCATCATCAATACATGCTATGTGTCAAGCATTCAAATTCTGATCACATGACCATGGGGATCCTGCAGTGGTCATAAGTGTGAAAAAAGCTTCCTAAGTCACTTTTTTCAATTAACTTTAAATGGTCACTAAATAAACTGTTGTAAGTTGAGAGTTTCCTATATATTTTTTAAAAAATCCTGATTATTAACAGGTAAAAAATTAGTAGTTACTCAGAACAAAACAGCTGCACTGTATACTGTACAAGAAGAAAAACTTCAGGAGTAATAAAACAGATGTTCCCATGTCACTTTAACACATTGATTGTTTCTGAGAAAAGATAAGGGATCGGCCTATTATAAAACAGCAGGAATATCAGAATTAGCATTTAGATAGATTAATCTAAATCATTTCAGTAATTTGGGCAACCAATCTGTCAGGTAGGTTGATGTTATCGCAAATGTTGTTCTTGTGAAGATCTTGGCTAAGACATTTTTAAAAAATCCCTATTTTTAGCAATGGGAGAAGAGGTGGTATTCAGCAGGTTCTGACCAGTTCTGGAGAACCGGTAGTGGAAATTTTGAGTAGTTCGGAGAACTGGTAAATACCACTTCTGACTGTCCCCACCCCTGTCTATTCTCTGCCTCCCGAGTCGCAGCTGATCGGGAGGAAATGGAGATTTTGCAGTATCCGTCTCCTGGATTAGGGAAGGAATGGAGATTTTACAGTAACCTTCCCCTGGAGTGGGGTGGGAATGGAAATTTTACAGTATCCTTCCCCTATTATGCCCACCAAGCCATGCCATGCCCACCAAGCCACGCCCACAGAACTGGTAGTAAAAAATTTTGAACCCCACCACTGAATGGGAGCTAACTAGGTAATTTTGGACCAGTCGCTTTCTGTCAACTCCCTTACCTATGGGAAATTTGGAGGCGGGAATACTATATAAACTACCTTAAGTTCTTGAAAAAAAAGAGGCTAAATGTAAATCTATTAAATAAAGAATAAAATTACATTCTGTAGGGCTGTTGTAGAAATCCAATACTGAGAAATTCTGGACAAGTAGGTTGTTATTTATGACACTGGAAATCAGGTCGTAAATCGTTGCCATCATAAGTTGAGACACCTACCCAAACAGATCTTTTTAATTTTGATATTTCTCATGGTGGTCATTAAGTGAATCACTGCAGTCATTAAGTAAATCCATTGTTATTAAGAGAACCCAGATTTTGCTGAAATCTGGCAAAAAACACCAGAAACTGGCAAAAAATGTTACAAACTGTAGGCATGTGACATAAAGGCAAACCAGTTGGCAAGTGCCTAAATGCGGGTGGGTGGGTGAGTGGGTGCAACATTTTAGTTTCAGTTTCAGTTTCAGTTTTATTAAATTTTTATACCGCCCTTCTCCCAGGGGACTCAGGGCGGTGTACAGCCAAGATAAAACCCACAATATAAAAGTTAAAAACAATTTAAAATTATTATGATGAATGGAAGTGCTTTGTAGATCATAAACTACTCATTCTGAGGTTGTTGTAATTCTGAAAGTTCATAAAATACAGATCATAAGTCTGGAACTACCTGCATAGCGCAATCCTACATGGGTTGATACAGACGTTCCATTCAGTGGTGAACTCCAATTTTTTTTACTACCGGTTCTGTGGGCGTGGCTTGGTGGGCGTGGCTTGGTGGGCATGGCAGGGGAAGGATATTGCAAAATCTCCATTCCCACCCCACTCCAGGGGAAGGATACTGCAAAATTTCCATCCCCACTCCACTCCAGAGGAAGGATACTGCAAAATCCCCATTCCCTCCCCACTCTGGAGCCAGCCAGAAGTGGTATTTGCCGGTTCTCTGAACTACTCAAAGTTTTCACTGCCGGTTCTCCGAACTGCTCAAAATTTTCACTGCCGGTTCTCTAGAATCTTTCAGAACCTGCTGGATTTCACCCCTGGGTCCATTGAGTGTTTAGGAATCCTAAACAGAAATTATCTCATTCATTCATTATACAAGCCATGGTTTCCTTAATTGTGGTATACTAAAGAAAAATAGTGGAAAAATTGCAGCATTGAGGCCTAGGGGTGCAGATGCTCACCTCCCACTCAGAAGGTTGAGAGTTCAAATAAAAAATATCTGCTGTGAATTCTACATGGTGTCAGGAAGGGCATCTGGACAGTAAATGCTCAGCTCTATCCAATCGCCCTGATTCTACCCCGAATTAAGGAATTACAGGGTCATATAAAGGGAGGTTTTTCATACTTCGTTACATTAATTTTAATAAAATTCTGCTAAATCATAAAGCCATTGCTGAGTTCGTACAGTACACTAGGTAAAACTACATAATAGCATAATGGATAAATTCCGATATCATATTTATGTCATCCTTCCTCCCCTTACATGAAGTTACTAAATGAGAATCTCTCTGAATTACTTCATGTAAGGGGAGGAATTACTTTTTTTCTGATGTCCAAGCAGAATTTTTTTCCCCATGACATATTATGATCAAACAA